CAAGTTTGTCGTAAAAAATCATTTCAAAATAACTAACTTTTCACTCTACCCATATTCAACTTAGAAACTACCCACTAAACTCCCTACAAGGAGGCAGCAATGGCACGGCCGGTTAAGAGGCAAGCACCAGCAGTACCACCAGCAGAAGAGATTAAGGAGGAACACCTTTTGGCTTTCATTGTGAAGGAGAAATATAAAGATAATAAATGCAAAGAAGAACTCGAGAAATATTGTGAAGAGTTGAAGAAAGCAGATGAGAATTTCAAAGTGAATGATAAAGTTAAAGGACTTTGTGAAAAAGGAAAACAAGAGGATAAATGCAAAGAACTGAAAGAGAAAGTTGAAAATGAATTGGACACTTTTGATGTGGAAATTCAAGATGAAGAAGAATGTGAAAAACATGAAGAAAAATGTATACTTTTAGAAGAGACGGGTGATGATGATGTTAAGGAGAAGTGTGTCGAGTTGAGGGAGAAATGTTACGAATTGAAGCGTAAAAAGGTGGCAGAGGAGCTTCTTTTCAGGGCGCTCGGAGGAAAAGCTAAAGTAGTGAATGAATGTCAAGCAGAGATGGAAAAGGTTTGCCCAGTGTTGAGCCGAGAAAGTGACGAGCTGATGTTTTTCTGCCTTGATTCTGCTAAAACATGTGGAGATCTGAAAACAAAATTGGATACTGTTTGCCTGCCTTTAAAAGAAAAGCTTAAAGATGGAGATTTACCGGGAAAGTGTCATGAAAGACTTGAGAAATGTCATTTTTACGGAGAAGCGTGTGATAAACCAATGTGTGATGAGGATAAGAAGCAATGCGAGAAAAATGGAGTCATATATAAAGCGCCAGAATCTGATTCTAGTCCGGTCAAGCCGAAGGCGTCGTTGTTAAGAAGTATTGGGTTGGATGATGTGTATAAAAAGGCTGAAAAAGAAGGAATTATTATTGGGAAATCAGGAGTGGATCTACCAAGGAAGTCGGGTACAAAATTTCTGCAAGATATCTTACTACTGTTGAGCCAAGATGAGAAGGAGAAGAAACCAGAAGAAAAATGCAAAAAAGCGTTAGAAAAATGTGGTGCTTCTGAGTATTTGGATGCTGATTTGAAAAAGTTATGCAAAGATGGTGATAAACAAGAGAAATGCAAAGCATTACTAGATGTAAATGTAAAAGAAAGATGTACAAATCTCAAATTAAAACTTTATCTCAAAGGGTTGTCTACAAAATATAATAATGAAAAATCAGATCCTTTATTCTGGAGAGAACTGCCAACATTATTTACGAAGGGAGAGTGTGCAGAACTTGAGTCGGAATGTTTCTATTTAGAAAATGCGTGTAAAGATAATAATATTGATGAAGCATGTCAAAATGCGCGAGCAGCGTGCTATAAAAAAGGACAATATAGGATGTTGAATATGCTCTTTCGAGGGGGGTTGAAGGAGAAGCTTGATCGTTTAAGAAATTATAACATTCCTGAAGAATGCAAAAAATTTGTGGTAGAAGAGTGTAAAAAACTTGATAAAAAATACCTTCCAAAATGTCTTTATCCTAAAGAATTATGTTATCTGCTTTCAGATGATGTTTTCCTTCAATCCAAAGAGTTAGGTGTGCTTTTGGATGATCGGAGAGATTTTCCATTTGAAAAGGATTGTTTTGAGTTGGAGGAGAAGTGTGATGAACTTGAAACTTATTCATTTTCGAATTCAGAAAAGTGTATAACATTGAGAAGGCGCTGTAAATACTTAAGAGTTTCAGAGGGATTTAGAAAAGTATTTTTAGAAAAAAAGGATGATTCGTTAATGACTCGGGAAAACTGTACGAAGGTGTTGCAAGAAAAATGTGATGCTTTATCTAGGAAAAGGAGGAATCCATTTGGGTTTTCATGTGCTTTGCAAGAAGAAACATGTGAATATTTGGTAGCCCGTACAAAAGATGAATGTTTCTATTTAAAAGACAACATGGAGAATGAAGAAATTCTAAAAGAAATTGAAGAAAAAGCAAAAAAAGCAAATGGAAATGAAACCTTGGTTGAAGAACTCTGCACAACATGGGGACGACATTGTCACCAACTTGTGGGGAATTGTCCGGAGCACTTGAAAAAAAAAGATGATAAAGATAATCATAACTGTGATGAACTCGAAAAAAAATGTAGTGAAACTTTTGAAAAGCTGAAATTGGAAAAGGAGCTGACTCATCTGTTGAAAGGAAGTTTAAAGGATGATAAATGTAAAGAAGCATTAGAAAAGCATTGCCCTGAGTTGGAAAAGAATCAAACATTCAAAACTCTGTATGGTAAATGTGATGATAATACCAAGGGAAATGTTTGCAAAAAATTAGTTGAAAAAGTAGGGAAGAAATGTCTTACTTTAAAAACCGATCTGGATGAAGCGAAAAAAGAGTTGACAGAGAAGAAAACTGAGTACGAAAAGGCTAAAAAGGCGGCTGAAGATTCTACGGACACAGCTAAATTATTGCTATCAAGGCCTAAAAAAGCCGTAACATCAAGTGGACAGAATAGCAGTGGTTCTGTACCAGCACAGCCACCAGCAGCACCAGCAGCACCAGAAGCAGGATCATCTTCATCACCACAAGGGCCACCTTCATCACCAGAATCATCTTCTACATCAAGTGGAACACCAGGCACAACAGATGGAACGACGAAGAATCCAAAACTTGGACTTGTTAAAAGAGCATATGTAGATGGAGGAGTATCAGAAGCAGAGGTAAAAGCATTTGACGCAACGACGGTAGCATTGGAATTGTATTTGGAATTGAAAGAGGAATGTAAAGCTTTAGAATTAGATTGCGGTTTTAAAGAGGATTGTTCAGATCTTCAAGTTTGTGGAGAAATAGACACGTTATGCGGAGGAATAAAACCATTAGAAATTAAGCCTCATCATACAGAGACGCAAAAAGAAATCTCAACCACTACGACGACCACTACGACGACGACTACCACAACTACTACCACGACTACGACGACAACAACTACTACTACCAAGCAGGGAAGTGGAGGAAAAGTAACAGAAGAGTGTACAATGATACAAACAACAGATACATGGGTAACACGTACGTCATTGCATACGAGTACGACAACGAGTACGTCAACGGTGACGTCGACAGTGACGTTGACGTCGATGAGAAAGTGCAAACCTACCAAATGTACCACCGATTCAAGCAGAGAGACAGATAAAGGAGGAGAAGATGAAGAAGAAGTGAAACCAAATGATGGGATGAAAATAAGAGTTCCTGATATGATTAAAATAATGTTGTTGGGAGTGATTGTTATGGGAATGATGTAAATGAATGAAAAAATGTTAATAGAATGAAAATGTGCATATATCCATTGTTTATATATAATAGAAATGTAAATGAATGAAATGAAGTTTTAATTATTTTAGTCCGCCATTTTAATTAGCGACTTAGCTTTATAAGGTAAAGTTTAAGCTTATCGAAGAGCTAAAATTTATGATTAATGATAAGAACAACTCTAACCTGTAAAAAAATCGTTTCAAAACAACTTTTCACTCACCTGCCTACATCCAATTTAGAAACAATAGTTTTATCTCCCTACAAAGGGGTGGCAATGGCACGGCCGGTTAAGAGGCAAGCACAAGGAGGAGCAGCAGCAGGAGCACAAGATGACATTAAGGAGGAACACCTTTTGGCTTTCATTGTGAAGGACAAACATGATGATGAGAATGAATGCAAAAAAAGGCTCAAGGAATATTGTGAAGAGTTGAAGAAAGCAGATGAGAAATTCAATGTGAATGAGAAAGTTAAAGAACTTTGTGGTGCTGGTGATGATACAAAACGAGACAAAAAATGCAAAGACCTGGATGTTGATGCAGAATTGGTAACTTTTGAAGATGAACTTAAAAATGCATTAGCAGATATAAAAGATGAAAATTGTAAAAAACATGAAGAAAAATGTATACTTTTAGAAGAGACGGGTGATGATGATGTTAAGGAGAAGTGTGTCAAGTTGAGGGAAGGATGTTACAAATTGAAGCGTGAAAAGGTGGCAGAGGAGCTTCTTTTCAGGGCGCTCGGAGGGGATGTTAAAGATAAATGTGAACTAAAGATGAAAGATGTTTGCCCAGTGTTAAGCCGAGAAAGCGACGAGCTGATGTCTTTTTGCCTTGATCCGAGTGGAACGTGTGGAGAGCTGAAAAAAAAATTGAAGGATCTTTGCGAGCCTTTAAAAGAAGAGCTTAAAGATGGCGAATTAGAGAAAAAGTGTCATGAAAGACTTGAGAAATGTCATTTTTACGGAGAAGCGTGTGATGGTGCGAAATGCAAGGACTTTGAGGAGAAATGCAAGGGAAAAGGAATCACATATAAAGCGCCGGAATCTGATTTTAGTCCTGTCAAGCCGAAGGCGTCGTTGTTAAGAAGTATTGGGTTGGATGATGTGTATAAAAACGCGGAAAAACATGGGATTATTATTGGAAAATCAGGAGTGGATCTACCAAGGAAGTCGGGTACAAAATTTCTGCAAGATCTCTTGCTACTGTTGAGCAGAGATGAGAATGATAGGGATGCAGGGAAGAAATGCACTAAAGCGTTAGAAAAATGTGGTGCTTCTAAGTATTTGAATACTGAATTGAAAAAGTTATGTGAAGATCAAAAGAAAGACGAAAAATGCAAAGAATTACTAAATGTAAATGTAAAAGAAAGATGTACAAAATTCAAATTAAATCTTCATCTGAAAGGGTTGTCTACGGAGTTTAAAGAAGATAAAGAATCAGAACTTTTATTGTGGGGACAGCTTCCAACCTTTTTTATAAAAGGAGAGTGTGCAGAACTTGAGTCGGAATGTTTCTATTTAGAAAAGGCGTGTACGAATAAGATTGATCAAGCATGTCAAAATGCAAGAGCAGCGTGCTATAAAAAGGGACAAGACAGGATGTTGAATAAGTTCTTTCAAAAGGAATTGAAGGGAAAGCTTGGTCATGTAAGATTTTATAGCGATCCTAAAGATTGTAAAAAATATGTGGTAGAAAACTGTACAAAACTTAAAGAAGATAAAAGATACCTTTCAAAATGTCTTTATCCTAAAGAACTATGTTATGGGCTTTCAAATGATATTTTTCTCCAATCCAAAGAGTTAAGTGCGCTTTTGGATGATCAAAGGGATTTTCCATTTGAAAAGGATTGTGTTGAATTGGGAGAGAAGTGTGATCAACTTAGTAGTGATTCATTATTGAATTTAGAAAAGTGTATAACATTGAAAAGACGCTGTGAATACTTTAAGGTTACAGAAAGATTTAGAAAAGTATTTTTAGAAAGAAAGGATGATTCGTTAATGATTCAGGAAAACTGTACAAAGGTATTGCATGAGAAATGTAATACTTTATATAGGAGGAGAAAGAATTCATTTAGTGTTTCATGTGCTTTACCAGAAGAAACATGTAGTTATATGGTATTCCACACAAGTCAAGATTGTAGTAGTTTAAAAGTCAACATCAAGAATGAAAAAATTCTAGAAAAAATTGGAGCAAATGGAAATGAAGCAACACTTGAAGAACTCTGCACAACATGGGGCCGACATTGTCACCAACTTGTGGGGAATTGTCCAGATCAGTTGGGAAAAGAAGACAATGGCAATAATCATAACTGTGATGAACTCGAAAAAAAATGCACTGATACCTTTAAAAAGTTGAAAGCGAAGGATGATTTGACTCATTTGTTGAAAGGCAATTTAAGCGAGGAAAAAAAATGTAAAGAAGCATTAGAAGAGCGTTGCGCTGAGTTGCAAAAGGATAATACATTCAAAATTCTGCTTACTAAGTGTGAAGCTAATGCCTTGGGAACTGTTTGCGCGGAATTAGTTAAAAAAGTAAAAGAGAGATGTCCTACTTTAAAAACCGAACTGAATAAAGCGAAAGATGAGTTGAAGGGAAAGAAAGATGAATACGATGAGCTCAAAAAGGCGGCAGAAAAATCTACAAAGGAAGCTAAGTTATTGCTATCAAGACCTAGACAAACTGTAATGCCAAGTGCGCAGAATAGCAGTGGTTCTGTACCAGCACAGCCACCAGCAGCACCAGCAGCACCAGAAGCAGGATCATCTTCATCACCACAAGGGCCACCTTCATCACCAGAATCATCTTCTACATCAAGTGGAACACCAGGCACAACAGATGGAACGGCGAAGAATCCAAAATTTGGACTCGTTAAAAGAGCATATGTAGCTGAAGGAGTATCAGAAGCAGAGGTCAAAGCATTTGATGCAACGACGATAGCATTGGAATTGTATTTGGAATTGAAAGAAGAATGCAATGCTTTACAACTAGATTGCGGTTTTAGAGTGGAATGTCCAGATACTAAACAAGCTTGCGAAAATATAGACACTTTATGTAAACTGGAACCATTAGAAATTAAGCCTCATCATACAGAGACGCAAAAAGAAATCTCAACCACTACGACGACCACTACAACGACCACTACCACGACTACTACCACGACTACTACGACAACAACTACGACAACCAAACCGGGAAGTGGAGGAAAAGTAACAGAAGAGTGTACAATGATACAGACGACAGATACATGGGTGACGAGTACGTCATTGCATACGAGTACGACAACGAGTACGTCAACGGTGACGTCGACAGTGACGTTGACGTCGATGAGAAAGTGCAAACCTACCAAATGTACTACTGATTCAAAGAAAGAGACAGACAAAGGAGGAGAAGAAGAAGAAGAAGTAAAACCAAATGATGGGATGAAAATAAGAGTTCCTGATATGATTAAAATAATATTGTTGGGAGTGATTGTTATGGGGATGATGTAAAATGAATGAAAAAAATGTTAATAGATTGAAAATGTGCATATATCCATTGTTTATATATAATAGAAATGTAAATGAATGAAATGAAGTTTTAAATTTTAACACACCATCTTA